TATGCCGCACCCCCTTGTACCCCTCGGAACGCAATGAGCATTTTAATCACAAATCTCAGAAACTGAAACCCGTACATTTACGTTTTAAGGAGTAATAGTAGAAAACTAATTTCTGACTTTTTACCTCTTGTCAGTAACTCTAAGGACGTGACTTACATTCCAAACATTTTTAATTCTTTTCGCAAGCTTTCAACATTTACTTTCTTAGTTACTTTTCACTTTTTACACTTACATTTTGTCCTAGTTGCCTAAAATTTTGACATAATGAAGTTAATTTTGTGAACTACTTTTAGGGCCAATGAACAAACTACCATTGAGTAAATGCTACTTTTGTACAGATAAGAAAACAAAGGTTTTAAATTTTGTTGCTTTACTAATTTTGAAATTTCCTGTAAATGGAATTGAGTTTTTAGAAGAATTCATCACCTCCAAATTGTTATAAAAATATGTTAAGCTTTGATTGCAGTACCAAGCCATGAAAAATATTTTGAAGTCTGTTTGATACTCATACTCATACTATTTAGTCTCCACACGTCCAAATAGAACTATGCAAAGTATAAACAACCTAACAAATACCAAAGACTCATTGCATTGAGATTATTGCAAAAGTGTTCAATGCAATTATTGGAAGACACTGCGAAGCTGCTACACAGGGAAGATGTAGCAAAGTGCAGCAATCTGGAATCCTTTTTTGCACTTGTGGTTATTGCGTGCAGGCACTGGCAGAAGTGCCACATTTGTATAACTCGATTAAGTGATGATTATTCTTAATACTCCATTTACAGATGTTTCCGACCACAGCAATTTTAACAAGTGCAACCATTCCACTTTCATTGCTTATGGTTTTTGGAAAATATATTTCGATGATAGAATGAGTATTAGGGTTTTCTTGACTATTGCACATCATTCGTATAAGTCGTTTGTACATAGAATAAGTGATATCGAGGTGCCAAAAATACTAACTTTTTTAACAACACACCATCTTGTTAAAGTCTGTCAAACAATCTTTCTTGACTTTTAAAATAATATAAAATTTGTGCTGGAACTGGAACTATTCGGGAACAGTGATTCGTGAAATAGACAAGTCAAGACCAAAAATATCCAACCAAATTCATTGAAAAACCGAAGTCATGTTAACAGTTTTATTCGTTTATAGTAATTGTGGTAGGTACATTATAAATTCCTTCTGCTAGTTTAAAATATTACCAAAGCATATTACCTGAGTGTAAATCAACGTTAACGTGAAGTGGTTCGCAATAAAAGACCAAACAATTCTTCGGACAATTCTTGATTTTTGCATACTACTCATATCGTTCCCCAATATTCTCAAAACTTAATCCGAGGACACCGACTTATATCGGGAACTGAGTAATTTGAAGGCGATAACAATTTCTATAAACAATTTCTAAGTATTTTTCGATCACAGTGAAAGACCGGAGAAAAGCAAATTTGTATGCCACTTTTAAAAGAGATAAGTGCTTTATCGAATTTCTACCAATTTTTAATATAATGAGAGTTAAAACATTTCTTAATTTAGTACTGCCTATTCGAAAAATATTGGACACATCGGTTACATCGGCTGCTCACAGAACCAATATTTGCATGCTTGAGAAACTAAATATCGTAAGAAATCTTATAAAACTGATCTCTAATATAGGTATACTTACCTACCTCACTTCGGACCTACCTCACTAAAAATTTAGACACAATTACGATAGTTGCAAAAAAACAATATGGGTAGAAGTTGTAAACAAGGAAGATCAGATGGTCTGTAGATGGATCAATTAAAATTTTTGCTCTAGATAGTAATTAGAATCATTTCAATGCACAAAGAGCAAGATTAAAAAGAACTACTTATCATTTCGGTAATATTAAACATAGCATATATCTGAGTTCTTACTGAGTCTATAAACGTTTTAGATGGTGATCTCATTGTATTTTTTTTGAACACTTTTTTAAAGGATATATCAGTGAATTTAATAATTAATTGAAAAAGTTAGAACTGGGCTTAAATATCTTACCAATATATGACCTTACACCTAATATTGAAACGTCCATTGTTGACTTGTAACTCAACTAAAGTCATTCAATGTTTGTAAATTTTTAAATTAATCAAATCAATGAAAATTTTATTCTGTTTCTGAACTAATCTTAAGCATTTGTGAATCTGAAGTACATGTTATACAATTGCACTACATATATCATACAATATTGGAAATATAAATGTACAAATAATAATCAATCCATATTTCATTATTTTCTACATTATCTTATCATATATAGTGTCGATTATAGGCTTAAAAGTGTTAACTTTATGGAATGTCAAGATCAATTGTTATTTGTATAAGGCTTTGTAGTTGATGAAATATTTTTAAGTATTTATTTGATTTCATTGAATAACATAAGTTACTTTGAATTTTAAGTTCCTATTTCAACTTTAAATTTCACTTAGTTACGTTTTCATATAAAGAAAGTTGAAATAATCTGATTAATTAGGGATAAAGACTACCAAAGCAATGAAAAACAATAGAATTCCTGGCAAGAAGCAGAAAACGAATCAATATTTTGATACAAATGGAACAGGTAAAGTTTTCCGGAAGGGACGCTTAAGTGTTGCAAATGTTTTGTTTAATGAAAACTGTGGAAACAGTGTTAAAACATAAAGAAGTGTAAAAGGAAAAATAGTGATTATATGTAATCTTTTAGCAACAGCAACAGTTTCATCCTCGCTCAAATTGTGTTGGGAGGTGGAAACGTCACAAAGATTTTCATTTCCCAAATATTATCTCAAAGCGGTAGGCAGGCTTTTTGCGTGGCTGGTATGAATTTTATTATTAAATGTACCGCACTACGATATAAAGTTCGAAAAGTAACACGGTCTTGACAGACAATTAGTGCATGTCACTGACAAAATGAATTCCCAAAGGCATTTTACGCTTTTTGTGGAAACACATGTTTCATTCCAGCGATTTTTCGGAGCCAGCAGAACACGTTACCATGGCACTATCGGTGCGCATTTAATTTCTGTATTAACTAAGGAACGCTTTTTGTTCGCAGCTTCCATGTCAGCTTTCCATGTCTCCACCAGGTTTTTTATATTTTTGTTTTTTGTCCTCTTGATATTTTGACTTATGCCTGTTAAAGAACGCTCAGCAGCCGCAAAATTCGACTCTTGTTGACGACGGAAGTTGCTTTTGATTGGTGTAACCACAATTTAATTTAACTGTATCTACTAAGGAAAACGCTGAAGACATGTATAGAATAAGGTTAATTTTGTTGAATCATGAAATATTTCCTTCTAATGTAGATACACTGATAGCATAAAAAGATTCTTAAAAAAAGTATTATTCTTTAACAGATAGATACATAATATAGATGCCTACATAATTTCTTCATTCTATAAAACTTAAAATTACCTAAGATGTATTATTATATTATTATGTGAGTTCTAAATGCAATCTAGATGCATATGTAGATAGTTCTAGATCCAATCATTTTACAAATTACAATAGTATAAAAACTTTTAAACTAATTTACTGAAGTAATTCAGCCAAATTCTTACTAAAAATTATGTTGACTTATAGATATTTTTACAATATCTGTATGCACGAAATTTCCTTATGTTAAGATAGATTCAAATAAACAACAGTCAAACTGTTAACTAACTGTTAACGATAATATAGCCGAAAGTAGCTAGCTAGGTTAGGTTAAGAACGCGCGGGCTGACATTTAGCAACACTTCCACTCGGAGGTATATATTGTCCATTGTGATGCCCAAAAAGATTTTGCAGGGAGAGGCGAGTTGCTAACCTCCGTTATTTTCGTGGATTATCCTTATTAAACTATTTGGTTTTCCAGATGAAGTTGAGGAGATCCAATAAGTTTTATTTCGTTGTCTTCTTCAGCCCAATGAAAAAGAAATTCTCAAGCAATTGAAGTCGCCTTGTCTGCGACTTCATCGTGGCAACTTCTGTATAATCCACTTATTGGAACTCGTCACCTTTGGAGCATAGGTGCATTAGCACAGTGCCTCTTTAGTATTCCAGTAAATACACGAACTGCAGGTTTACTGAAGCCTAAGAGTTTTTTCGTTTTATTTTTTCCAACCTAGGCCAAAAGGTTATAAAGATTTCACAGAGTCGCGATTAGCACATAAATTTTTAGTCAACACATTGGTAAATTCCTCTATGATTCTAAACAGTTCGTATATCGGTGTTTGTACTGAGTGGTCGTCCTTCCTTATATGCAGTTCAGAACCCCTTCTGGCCATCTCATCTGCTAGTTCATTCCCTTCAAAATATTGCTTTGTTCAGGAACACAGCAAATAGCATCCTTGTGATGTTAGGCGACACTCTCTTGTGAATCTGAACTAAAAAATAGTGTCAACAAACAGCATTGAAATTTTCTGTAGAAAGCATTTTAATAATTAAAAAACCGTATTAGCTAAGCAGTGATATTCTAATTCCTAATACTTAATAGCCGAATGTTGTTTTAGATACATTCAAGTAAGATTCACTAAAGAAAAAATTAAAGACAACTGATACCTGTTTATGGTATATTTTATACCAAGAGACATAAGGTAGATTCTCAAATGTAGACTTTACGATCACTACAAATACAGAATGATAAAATTAGTACCATACATTGTGTAAGCATTATAGTGTTTAGTATTCATATTCACATTCCCTTCAAATATCGTTTATTTTTGCTTCCTAAATCAAGACAACTTCAAATAGTTTCATTATTTCATAGAATAATAAATATTAAGCTATGAAGCTCATTCGCTTTATTTGAAATTCTTGAAGAAAAAATGTCATTGAAACTCTAGAAACTAGATATTGCAACAGACTATACCTACGTCTCAGCACACAAATTATTTAATGGTACGAAAGTGGAAGATATACAAATATAACTAATAGCTAATCATTCTTTCTGTACATAAACTTACTTAAAAATATCTTATAACATAAACTTTTCGGTACTTTTCCTACTAGTATTGTATTAAGAGTATAAAAATACTTTATTTATGAGATATGAAAACATCTTAAAATGTTCAACTTTGAATTTAAGTAGAACAACATAGTATTTTTTTCACCCAGGAAACAACTTTTGACAGAAATTTCAATACATCTTTTTTGTGTACACCCCCACAGATGGAACTGAAACTACCGAAATCCTTCAGAAGTTGCAAGCTCATAATATTAACAGAACGTATTTATAATAAACGAAGGGAAACAAATGATGAAAAAAGCCAAATTAGATGTGGAAAAAAGTCTTTATTAAAGCGTGTAGTGATGATGGTGCAGCTGGCCTAAATGATAAAGTTGTTGTCATCATGTATACCTGACATATTTACAACGTGTTGCCTAATAATGGCAGTGCTCGAAGAAGAAATCTCTAAGAGCCGCAGTGCCGGAGGAACTGTGGCAATACATGGCAATACATAGATGTGCTACGCATAATGAGCAGAATGCGTGATTTGTTTGAGTTATCAATCACGCTTGATTATTTTTTTAAAAAGAATTTACATTACAAAAAGTTTTAATAATGAAAGTGATAATCAAAAACGTGGCTCATTTCGTAGGTTGCTCCGTTCAACAGCTCCGTTGGTTTCAACTGCCACAACAGCCTCTATAAATGCAAGTAATGTACAAAGGCAAGTTTGGTCATTAAAAGTTTAACTTTATTCAATTAAATTTAATTATGCTACATTATTCAAGAATTTAAGATTAGAACTCATAACTACTATGGAGACTCCACGATGATGGCTTCATAGGATTGTAAAATGAAGTTATCTACAGATACTATGTTGCTGTAATACAAAATGTAAAAAAATTTCCATCAATGATAAATAAAATAATTAGGAGGGATGTTTGGAAAGTTTTCCAAAGTTACTCACCCCTCCCTGCGTGCTGATATCGTATTGACAATTTTCGTATTAAAATTGCCATTGACACGTAGTAAATTACTGACATTCGCAGTCATTTCACCACTCAAAACGTTGGCCAACAAAATATAGGTCTTCTCACCGGGCAAGGAACTTTAATATTGTAAGAATTAATTTGTTTAGCAGTCAATAAAAATAAACACAATTTCACACAAAAAACCATAAATAATGGAATGAATAAAAGAAGTTAAAAATATGTTTTTTAAACTTCAAAAACATCAACGATACTTGAAATATACCCGTGAAGCCTTATATTTAACTCACCGCTTTATGGCCAAAATATTGTCATTAACGGCTCCATACTTAACGTCTCCATATTGCAGCGTTTGGGTTTTTCGTAACTCTGACAATTGCTTGTAAATACTTAAATGACTCTTAGAATCAGTATTCTCTGACTCCATATTGACGGAAACATAATTTGGATTAATGGGTAGCCAAGTTGTACTGTTTGTGGAGAAGCCTGCATTTTCTTGGTTGCTCCATTGGAATGGTGTGCGACATGGATCACGCGTAAATTGTTCATAAATTTGAGGATTTGAATTACAAGCTGCAGGATCACGTGTATCTTCCCATGAAATATCCAAATCCAACATACCAATTTCCTCACCCTGCAAAATATCAACTTATTTCATGTATTTCACTTAAAAACTACATTCTCACCATGTATGTAACGCTCACACCTGGTAAAAACATTTGTATCATGTTCATGATATCAATACGCTGCTCACCGTAACGGCTACCCACGCGTCTCTGATCATGATTGCCCATCTATAAAAATCAATCATCACGTATACGTACAGTATGTATATATGTTCATACAATTCGATAAATATTGCGATCCACTTACCACCCAATTTGGTGTTTTGCCAGCTGGCATGAGATTCATCCAACTATCTATAATTCGCACAAATTCTTTAGCTGGTAGTTGTGTATTATTTTTATCAGCATTTCCATCCACAATAAATTGAAAATTGAATGGTATTTGTGCGCCTTGAGTTGTGCTATTGCCATATAACTTCATTACTACGTCCAACGGCGGATATGCTTCGATCATTAGCACACGCGTATCGCCACCATGTATTCGCTGATAATCATCTAATAACTGTCGCCACTGATAGACCATATCAATAGTTTCTGGTTGATTCTGTGTGTAGATATGATTCAAATAGCCAGAGTCATCTTTATCATCAGTAAAACCACTAAGTGGCTCATCAGGATATCTGCCATTTGCATCAGGGACCACCTCAAAGCACCAAGGCACAGCGTCAACTCGAAATCCCGCTACGCCACGATCTAACCAGTATGTGAGTACACGTTTCATTTGTGCCACAACTGCTGGATTTCGGTAGTTCAGATCAGGCTGCTGTACTGCAAATTGATGAAGATAATATTGCTGGCGATCTTCATTCCACTCCCAGGCACTACCACGGAAAGCTTGCAGCTAAATATATAAACAAATGCTCTGTTACAAAACAAATCGTTTTGTTTTTATAAATAAAAGAAAATAACTCAAAATCGTCTGAAGTTTTTGATTCTTTTTTTGTAATAATAACATAATTAATTCTTTTTTCCTTATAATTTCAAAAATTATCATTATTAAACTCCCATACTAATTACTTTTAACTGTTAGCTATTACTACAAAGTTTACCTCGAGGTTATAAAATACATTAACTCTCAAATCCTTCAAATGCATTTAATTTCTTTGAAAATCTTCTTGTTCTTACCCAATTACTGGGCGGCACACGTTCTCCGTTCTCGTTTTTATATCCATCATGCCAAACATAATAATCCTCATAACCCTTTTCACGTCGCACTGACTTCTTAAACCATTCATTCATATCGCTTGAATGATTTGGCACAAAGTCCAGAATAATTTTTAGCCCGAGTGTATTGGCTTCTTTGATCAAATTATCAAAATCTTCTAATGTGCCATATTCCGGTTGTATATCAAAAAAGTCTGCTATATCATAACCAAAGTCCACCATCGGAGACTTGTAGATGGGCGATAACCAAGTCGCTGCAACTCCAATTTCCTTCAAATATGACAACTTTGAAGTGATACCTTTGAGGTCGCCTATACCATCGCCATCAGAGTCCATGAATGAGCGCGGATAAATTTGATAAAATTGTGCCAGTTGCCACCAATCCTTACTGGTCCTAGCAGTTCCTTGCACGGCACCACCTGTTCCGCTACAAGCCTCAGTACGGTGTACAAAAAAAATTATAAAAAATATTATTATTGCTAAGGAAAACTGCATTTTCAATGATTTTATAGTTTTAATGAAAATATAACTAAATTAAAGCCATCAAACTGGAGCTGCTTTATGTGTCAAGTTCGATCGACTAAATACTGTTCCGTGCTACTGACGAATCTCTTATAAAAGTTCGCCTCAAATGGGCTAAACTGATGAGTACCTTCTACTGCAGTTATGAGTTAAATTTTGAGTGGAATTGTTTGTGTAATATCACGATACTACATAAGTGTTTTAATTAGAAATCTAATTTCTTTATAGATTTCATTGATATCATTGATTTCGATTGGAATCGTCATTTGCTCAGAAGTTGTTTGCTAATTTGTTTAACATTTTTCGTGATTTTTTTATTTTGAATTTTTCCATTGTTTACATTAATAGATAACTATTTTTTCAATAGTAAGGTCAGAAATCTTTCGAAAAGCATTATCTCGAAACACTTACATTTTTACTCGTTATAAAAATCTTAAGTTATTTATTCATTATTTTTTATTTTAAATATTTATTATATGATTATATGATACTCGTACTTTTATAAACCAAATACTAAGTAGAAACTTATGGATCGTTAACACTACAAAAAAATGTGAACTTATCGTGAAGTTAATTAAAAGCAATAAAAACAATTATTTAATTATAATAAACGTATTAAACGTTTAATATTAAATTACATATATAAAAACTGAAAATAATAGGTAGTATAAAGTTGTTTAATAACGAATTGTAAGTCCAATTACATTACATTTCCGACTTGTAATTATAAATAAATTATTATTAGTTTAAAAATTGTTACTAAATGTTCTCTAATTTACTTCATTTTTTCTGCCATTCGAACATCTTTTTATACTTCAGTTAAAAGTAATTGAAAAAAAAAATTGCTTCCAATATTAAGATAGTTTTATTTTAATAAAATAAAAAAGATATGAAATTAACTTTCTTAACTTAACTTATGTGCAAGAACGTAGCTGAAATAGATTTATTAAAATAAACAACAGCCAATTAAATAAAACGGAAAATATATGCAAGCTAACAGCACCAGATAGATGGAAGTATTCGCATGATTAACGCACACACTTTCTGTAAAAACTTCTATATAAACATCAAAATTCATAAAACATTGTTATCACTGTTAGAAGATAAGGTTTAGCAGGTTAACCTGTATATCTTTCTTATCATATACTTTGAAGTTACTACGCATCTTAAGTATGAAGAGTATAATAAGTTTCAATCCTTTGTTCTTGAGATATTTTTCAACTCATAATTGTGTAATAGAGGATTTGACACCTAAACATATTCGATGGTCTGCTATTGGATTCGTAATTTGTTATAATCAAGGAGATCTATAATAATCAAGGAGGAGGCGAAGAAATTTAAGTGTTTCTTATGTGAGCTCTTCTAATAAAATTTCATTCGAAGGTTGGGAACATATTTTAGGATACGGTCCTCTTTGATGTTAGTGTTATTAAAGTTTTTTCCTAAAACAACATTACTCAACAAATTCTTATATCATTGATATATACCATATTATAATAAATCTTGATGCTATAAGTTTTTCAATGTCAAACTACATAATTGATACTAAATAATTTATGCGATGTTTTTAATAGTTAAATTAATAAAACTACAATTATATATAAATCGATATCTAATAACAGCACATATGTTATTCACACTTGATCCTCTGGTGAGTAATATGTGTAATACCCAACCGTTGTTGTCAATTTAGTAGGTGAACGCAATACCACAGCTTCTTTGGGTAATAAACGTAATGACGAAATGTTAACTAAATTTCTGCAAGATTTAAAATTGAAAATCAAAAAATATTTTCATATTAACAATAATTATATATCATTTCATTTACCCTATTCTTGCACTGGACTTTGAAGTTATAATGGCATATTCCATTTGCTTTGGCAGACCATCGAAAGCATTGCTCAAGTCTACATTAACCACATTGTCAAATATATTCATCACAGTGACATAAGTGTGATCATTCAATAAAGTTCTAAAATTTTATATGAATAATTAGTAATTAGTAAATTTATTATTATTTAAATCAAACTTACCGTTTAACACCCAACACTGCATTATTAACCGCTTTTACTAGTACGTCGCCATGTCGTAGCGTTGGTTCTTGACGCAACTCCTGTAGCCGCTTATATACATTCAAGTGGCTAAGTGACATGCCGCGCTCTCGTTTGACATTCACTTCTTTATACATGTCCGATATTGGTAGCCATGTTTTATTAGCTGTACTGAAGCCAGCATTTTTCTCGTCGCTCCATTGAAAGGGTGTACGTTCGGGATCACGCGAAAATTTTTCATATGTATCTGGATTTGTATGACAAGCAGAGGGATCCACAGTATCTTTCCACGAAATCCAAACATCAGTCATGCCAATCTCTTCACCATTATAAGTAATACTGCAACCAGGTAGTGTTAAAATTAACATATTCATCATGTCAATACGATCAGCGCCAAGACGCGAACCAACACGATTTTGATCATGATTACCAATCTAAAATTCCATATATTTCGATAATAAATCGTTTTAGTTTTAAACATAAAATATAATGTGCATTTATTGTGTCCTTACCACCCAATTCGCTGTTCTACCTTCAGGCATATTTTTCAACCAAGTATTCACTGTTTCTGCATAATGATATGCATCTGAATCGTTTGTCAACCAATTGATCATCAGAAAGTTAAAAGGTATTTGCGCGCCCTCGGCTGTTGCATTGCCATAATATTTCATGT